GGATCCCTTTTATTAACTGTTCTCCATTCATAGCTTCGTCAGGTCTGGCACCACCACCAAGCAGGTTCCTCTGGTCTTCGTGGTCATGTCTGCCTGGAAGATGGTTGATTACTGGTTTAGCAGTATATTAATCAACATATTAAAATGCAACTATGTAAATCGTATCAATAATATTAACATAAACATCGATAGATGCTATATAAAAATCATAAAATCCATTGGTTTGATTATAGCATAATAACATAATAATGTTAAATCATAAGTATTAGTATTACTAACTTGCAAAAAAACATTATTAACTAACACAAACGTAATAAAATCCACTGTTTTCCCACAAGAAATCATGGATACAGTAGCAATAGATTACAATAGGGAGATTATTGTTAACCACACACACATAGCATACGCACAGCTCTGTGCCTATTTGGCGTTCCATACAAATATATTACGGCCGAACAAGTGTACGGCCGAACCGGACGTCATTCACTACTACTACTACTACTACTACTAGGCCTAGCTAGGCTAGGCCTACTACTAGATACTACTACCTACCTTACTTAGCGTAGGTTCTAACTAAGCCTAGCCTAGGCACACTAGGCCTTGCCTAGTGGCCTACACATTCCCTAGCCTAGGCTAAAGCGCTGGTACTGTAGTGCTTCCTTTCGAGTCATTTCATGCCAACAAAGCAACCATACACGCCAAGGTTTGCGCATTTGAGGTCTGTCTCGTGCTCTCACGCTGATGAAGGCATAGCCTAGCTAGGCCCAGTTGCCAACTTTCGAAAAATAAAATCTATGAGAACTTGTGTTGCTTCGCAAAGCGCAACTGGCTGGGGGCCAGGGGGGGCGAAACCCCCTAGAAGCTCGTGCTATCTGGGCATTTTCGCTACTGATTTGATTTTAGACACTAAATTTAAGGAAAACAATGAAGTACACAGTCACATTAATTAACACTATTAGGGATTTTTCCCTTGCCTGCGACATGTTTTTCACAGTACAGCAGTAGGCCTGTCACTCCAAAATTGGTCCTGCCAAAAAATGTCCGGTGGACAGATTTTGTAAGCCAAAATCGGTCCGCCAGACTACTAAAATCGGTCCGGGTTAAATTTAGTCGCTATAACTGGTCCCACTTGGATAAAATTGGTCCGCGTCGGCCTGGCCACTTCATTTGTAACTCGTCTGCTGCTCGTAGGGTATGATTGTTTCTCCCGTGGAGTGGAGGAAAGTAATTTATGCTTCTGTCACACTTGCAAAGTCTTTTGCAGTGACAGAATGTTTCGTTAAGCTTTTGAGGAAGTGTTTTATCAAACCCACCAGATAATGCATTTCCTAGGTTGCGATACACACAGCGTGCATCGTTTTCGGCGGCCGTGGTAGGCCTACGTTTGGGTCTAAAATGAAACACAAGACTGATTTATTAGTTTTAAATATTCCAGATTATTGTGTGTGGTATAGATGTTCTAATACATTAAATAATGGGGTCAGAATTCTTGGAATTCGTCGTAGCGTTAAGCACACACAACCAAAACAAGGTAAAAAAATTAACTACAGCGGACCAAAGGGTTTACTGGGCGCGAAGCTTTACTTAATTTCACCAGTGATTTCACAGTATAATAACGAATGAAAACATATTACGCTATATAATGAGAGATAAGATATTTATCTATCATTTGATTACAAAAAAAATATGAACAACCTTATAAAAAATATAAGTTACAGTATAACTACTAAATAGACGCCGGACCGATTTTGGCTTATGTGGACTATATTTGGCAGGTAATTTTAAAGCAAAAATCGGTCTGGACAGGCCAATCAATTTTGACAGTGTGATTGACCAGCATAACACAAATTCAGACCGGCAGGCAAAAAAGAAACTACAGTTTGAAGATGAAGATGGTATTTTTACTCAAATCGGTATCATTTGCAAAAGACCGATCTTACAAAAAATGCCGAAAGATCCACTGATTAATATCAGATAAGATATTATAATACATACTCCAAGTATCGAAATGCACGCTATTGTGTCGGGATTCAATATTTCGGATGATGACATAGTTAATGTCTAAATATTGAATCCCGACACGATGGCGTGCATGGGTCCAAATTATCTAATTTTATGCATAAAATGTGTCCACTTTTTGAAAAATTGATTCAGATTTCTCATATTTGGCTTTAAAAATGGGTAAAATTTAAGAAAATGGGTCCAGATGTTTCATATTTGCATAAAATGGGTCCACATTGTTCAAATTTACGCGTAAAGTGGGTTTGAAAATCCTGGCTACGGTTACAAATAAAACTGGGTCCTTATGTTGATTATTGTATCTTACGGTTGCCATTTTGGCCTCTAAGTAGACCTTCATTTGGTTTTGAAATTAATGCATTTTCTGTGCACTCTGGCCTTTCTAGTTTTACAGTTAGTGTAGAGGATAGAGAACCTTCTATATCTAAATGATTTCTGTCAGAGCTTTCGGATTTGACTTTATTCAATAGTGAGAATAGGCGCTCAATACCAGCATTGGAATAAGGGATCAGGAAATTAATTGATTATTGATATTGCCATACATACCTGTACTTCTCAAGTGATAGCCATACTGTAGAGTTGAAACGAAGCATATCAAGTCTTCCCACTCAAGTCCGACAAAGACAAATATATTCTGCAAAGATACCTTTGCCGCGTGTGCTTTTCTTTAAAAAAAAATAAATACAAATCTATTTAATAATGTTGTATTTATATAGCGCATATTGCACATTGCCCCTATGCGCTTTACAGAGAAATAATATAGGCCAACTGAGAAAAAGCAAATAACAATAAAAAAATAACATAAAATAAAATAAAAATAATCATAATAACAATAACAATGAGACTAAACTACTCCTATTCCGTAAACTAATTAATGGTTGGCCGTTGACTCCGAGGAGCTCATCCGCCCTTTGTTCAGCTATTGGTTTTTCTTGCTGCTGGGTGACCATAAACACCCTCCCCTCAGCAGCCACTAAGACTAAGCCACTAATTTGAGAGGGTTGTCAGTTTAGTCGCCGATGCTTTGACCGGATGGAGTTTAATGTCGTACCCAGGACGTCCCTAACTACCTTAACTACTACTACTTAACTAACTACTTGGTGTTCTTCAACATCAAACCCTGGTACTTTTGCATACCCAGAGCCACCTTTAGAAAGTGCGCAAGGTGACAGTTGCTGCCAGCAACAAGACAGTTTTGTTTTCTTTAAGTACACATGATTTTATGGAGTTATGATTTCCCATATTTGCATTGGTGTTGTCCAGGCCAATTGATGTCATCTTTTACAAGTTGTGAGTGCATGGCATCAAACAAAACACAATGCTGCTTCACATCCCCTAATCCCATATGGCTGCAAGAAATGTTTTTCATGCAGGGGATGCAGTAGAATGCATGCTTATTTCTTTCAGCTGCTGCAATAGGAAAATCGTTTGCCCATACCTGCTTATAAACACTACTGTATGCAACCTTTTTCTTCTTTGGTATTGACGCCATCGTTGCTGAATGAATGTGAACAGAGTTACCGAGTGAATAACGGCGTAAAGATAGGCCTGTTTATGCCGCGAGTGTCATGCATGTTTGATCCGTGAGTAACCTTGAAATCTGTCAGTAAAACTGGCAAATGATATCCGTGAGTCTCGCAGGCATTCCTGATGATAACATAATTAATGTCGAAATATTGAATCCTGACACGATGGCGTGCATTTTGGTATGTGTTATAGTATACTATCCAATCCGTATAAGTTGGCAACTATGTGAAGGTCTGACCAAAATCTCACGCATAATGTAATATTGCCTAGGCCCTATAGATAATAAAAAATATAGCCTAGGCCTACAGTATGTATAATTTGGAGCTCTCTCGATAAATATTCACCATCTACTCTACTTACATCTTTGGGTTTTTTGTTATACCATGGAGGTATTATTGAGAAGGAGATCACTCGGCAAAGCCACGCGCACGCAGCTGTATGCAAATGAACCAAAATCAAAGTTGCCGCAGCGCGTAAAGAACGTTTGCGCG